AGCGCCGCCGCCGCGCCCGCCCGCCCGTGCCGCTGGTGTACGTGAGCAGCTTCGGCTCGCAGCGCTGCGGCTCCGTGCTCCGCCTGGGCCGGGACCGCCGGCAGAGCCCCGGGCAGAGCCCCCCGGGCCGGAGCCGCCGGCAGAGCCGCGGGCAGAGCCCCCCGGGCCGGGCCCGGGCCCCGAGAGCCGTCCCGGAGCCGCGGGCCGGGCCCAGCCCCGCACCGGGCAGCAGCGGCAGGCGGGCGGGGAGCGGCGGTGAGGGGAGAACCGGCAGCAACACCTCCGGTACGTGAGACCCCGGCAGAACCCCTGGTGTCGGGCCCTCGGGGGGCTGGAGGTGGCGCGACTATTGTCTTAATTGTCTGTATCAAAAATWGTGCAGCCGGCAGGACCAGGGGTGTGAGYATTCCCCTGTTCGGGGYACTGGTGAGGCCACACCTCAAGTGCAGTGTCCAGTTCTGGGRAAAAAAAAAGGAATTGAAAGCTCCCAGAAGCCCGTTGTCTTCATGTGTGTGTGCTGTGCAGTTCTGAAATCTGTTTTTCTGAAATATGGCTCTTCAGAGGCACCCACTTGCTCCATGGTTTTGGGATAAAGGAGGGGACAAATGTGCTCGATGTAAGGTTTGATATCCTATAACCTGCTCTGACCAGAAATAAGGATCCCTCTGGAATCATTGAATKGTTTGTGTTGGGACCTGAAAGATCATCCAGTTCCACCTCCTTCSTAGGGACACCTTCCACCAGACCAGGCTGCWCAGAACTTCATCCAACCTGCACTTGGACACTTSCAGGRATGGGGCAGCCACARYTTCTCTGAGCARCCTGTGCYAGTGATTAAGAGCTTCCTTAGGAATGTGTTGTAAATGTTAAAAAATGCTTTCTAAACTCTTTCTAGGTGATCTTCAAAAGGCTAAGGCTGACGCCTTTGACTTTCCTTTCCCTTCAAGAAACACAGATAAAGTCATTAAACGAMAGAAGAAAAAGGTATAAAATATGGGAGCTCAATTGGCTGCCTTGGCATTTGAGAAAGGTGCTTGTTCTGTGTGTGTGAGAGCATGAGGGAGATTAAAAGATGGAATTGGTAGCCTGTTACTGAAAACCTTACTTACAGAAAAGAAAAAATGATATTATCTTGCCTCTCTGGAGGCTTTAAAATTCTGGCTCTTATTCAATAAAGCACTTAAGTGTGTGCTTACCTTGAAAAATGAGAGTTTGCTGTTGACTTAAAGCCTGTACTGAAATGCTTTGCTGGATTGGAGCCAGGGTGCTGCACACCTTGGGGGTGAAACCCAGCAGGAAAAAGCTCTACAGCTCCTCTTCCTCTCATGTTTTAAACAAAGAAATCCCATGGGTTACAAATAAGTAAAGGCAGGAATCCAAGCTATTAACACCATCCTTGTAGCAAGGCAGAATTACTTTCTGCTTCACAAATGTGTTTCTGTTCCTGTTCAGTAGTTCGACAATGCTTGAAATTTTAAGAGAGACATTTATTAACCAGTAACTCGTTATGAGATTCTGTAATGTGTGAAGTACAAGTAATCAGCTAGACTAGAATAGAGCCATGTCATAGATACTTGATTTAAAAACAGCAAAATGCTACCAACTGCAAAGGAACAGCTAATAACATCCTGGAATATGTCTCYTGGTGCATTGAACAGTCTTCAAAACCAAAGAGGAATATATATTATGTTTTAGCAATAAATGTCCTCGAGAAAGGAATTATCTTTAGGTTTTTCAGATGAGGTCCAGCAAAAGTCCAAACATCAGCGTGTCAACAGCTATTTCTCTTTGTTAGGCCACCTCTGCCTGAATGCTTTTGTCCACAGTTCCAATTTAATCTTTTCAATGCACATATTTGAAATGTGGCCACTACAGACAGAGCTTTATGCCTCTAAAATAGAGGYTGTCAACACCTATAAAGCAGATTAATATGGATTTGATAAGAAAAAGGGCAACACTTGCCATTCTGGGATCTGAATTTGGGGGCTGAGTTGTGCTGCTGCTGAGGTACCACATGAAAAAGCTTTTGGTCCTGGAAAAATAAACAATCTTATTTTTTTCCCCCATTTTGAATGACTTTGAAGAGCACTTAATGGCTCTACACATGTTTCCCTATGCTTTTCTTATCTAGAAGGGCACCTCAAAAGTCCTGGATAAATACAAGAATTCTAGGTGAGAAAGGAGAGGAGATCTCATGTGAAAAATCATGGAGGAATTTATGGTTTTTACTTTTAAACAGTGGGGATTCTTCCAATATATCCCACATATTTTTATATCCCTTCTCTTCTCTTCCTTCCCAGTCTGCAACAAAAAAAAAGCCAGCTCGACTTCACAGCCATTGTGGGAGATTAAGTTTCTGCCCTATAGATGTTAGAATGCAAACTTTTTATATGCTTCACATTTTATCTTTCAGTCCAAAGTCTGGCACAAGGTCTGGAAAGTGATTTCAAAAATGCTTGAAGAAAATGAGAGGTTCAGAAGTCGCCTGTTGACCTGCAGCCAGTTTCATGGAGAAGGTAGGAAATGAACTGATAACRTTTTATTTTACTAGAGAAAACAAATTATTAATACAAGTGAASATCCCAAGGTTTAAGGTCAGCTGTTTGTTTTGGGTAGTAGGTTTTACAACTCACAAATGAAATTAATTCCATACTTTAGGCACCTCCATCTTTTTTTTTTAAACCATTTTTGTTTCATGGAGGGTCTTGGATGTGTTAATTTGGAGGAAGGTTGGTGAAAGTGTTTGCTGCAGCCTGACATTAAAAACATGCACATAAAACATCTGCAAGTTTTTCTGAACATGTCAAATACGTAATTAAACTTATTCACAGATGGGTCCRAGGCAGTCTTTGTATGAATAATAATTTATTTTTTCATGTAGGAAAATAGTGGTTRATTTCATACAGACAATAAATAAATTAGATACTCCCCAAAGGTTGCTGGAACACAATTTAACAAAACCATTGAACATGTTCTCACTCTGTGCCCTGAATGCAGTTCTTTCATTACTGGAAAATGACTTGGGAATTAAAACTGGTGCTCTGCATTCAGCCAATTTCAATTAGAGGCATTGTAGCTGCTGCACAATTTAAGATAATACAGTGTATGCTTACAAATGKAATTTCTGGCCTCACAGTTGGATGAATTATTAGGAAAAAGAATATACTAAAGCATGAAGAGCTACCAGTCAAGTTAAAAAATGACAGCACTTTTTCTTCCCTTGCATTGGTGCTGATGGAAGTTTTCCACATGGGGGCATGTTAGGRGGTGTATCCCAAAATGTAGGACCATTCCTGCCAGTGTCTTATTTTATAGACTGTTGGATTAGATTTCCACACACATAACAAGAAAACACTCCCTCAAAAATTTGTTCGTGAGAACAAAGGAARTGCAGTTCTGGTTCAGAACAGAAATCTCTGCCCCAGTGGATGCTATTGAAGAGGAGAAGAAATTCCATAATGCGCTTCAACAACTTATTCTGCAATTATTGTGCAAATATTCTGCATTGTGTGAAAAAGCCCTTCTTCTGTTGGCTTTGAAACAAAATCCTGATTAATTCTGTAATTACGATATGATATTAATTATTCATTATGTGCTATTCATATTCTTTATTATATCAGTCAAGGTTCCATTGGCCTCTGTCATATTTCTGTGCTAAGAAGTTCCAATCTAATAAATCTCTCCTCACATGGAAGATGTTCCATGTGCTTTTTCTCCCACAGCTGAGATCATTGCAGAAGTGTTTGTGGAGAAGTGTTTGTGCAGAGTGTTTGTGTTGTGTTAATGTACATGTTGGACATATATCTATATGTAAGACACACACATCCATGGATGTGTAGGACAGTGAATTTTAAAAAAATCTTCCTAGATTTTATGTTTGCTTGATTTCAAGAAAAAGGAGAACAAATGTCAAGAAAAAAAAGAGGAGAAATCTTTCATAAGTGATGAGATTTCAAGTTATTTTAAACAAAAAAACCCAAAATTTCCTGGGTGGATTTGCCATCTTACCATAATGKCTGCTTTTCTATTTGTTATGGCTACACCTTGCACTGGTCAACCTTGGATTTATGGACAGGGCCTGCTCCCTTTTCAGACACTMATTTCTTTTTAGAGGAAGAGAATTTTCTTTACAGGTTATTTCCAGCGACTTAAAAAACCCCACCAACCAACCRACCCCTCCCCACTTACTCTGCCCTTAACTGAAATTTTTTTCCAGGAGCTTTAATTGAGAATCTGCTATTAAGCCCTCTTCCACTGAAAACCACCAATTCTAATATCTTCTTTCTAATTAGCAGATTTTGCACAAAATCAAATCTAGCTGGTAAGTCTCCTATTGATCTGAATTTTTCATTAATCAAGAAGCAAATGGAATAATTCCAGAAGATATTTAGATATGGATCAACAAATCTGAACAAACTGGGTTCATTTTTATATCTTTTTTTTTTTACTAGATTAATAAAGCTAGAAAATTAATGCTGCATTTTATTGCCTCTATAAATAGTTTACTTGAGAGAACAAAAGTCTACTTGAATTTTAATGCTACCTATTTACTCCTTGGAATGTTGCAATYAAGATTAGATTCCATGTGACTGTAAATGATAATTTTCCTCCACCTGATGTTCTCCTGCAGGCTCTGACAGGATCCAGAGGTCACAGAATGGGGCATACCTGGACAGGGTAAGTAGACAGTCCATTCAAGGCCCAAAAAAAGCAAAAATAAGCAAATTAATAATATTTAAAAGATACACTGATCTTGTTTAATGTTATTATAATAACTGGCAGTTATATATTGAAGTATCACTGACATTGAGCTCAAGTTTTTTCAAGATTTCAGTGTTGTTTGGGGACCAGAGCAGCTCCATCCTCACAGGGAGGGCTCTGTGCTTTGCCAAGGCAAAGGGAGGTGGATTTTGCCGCCTTCTTGAGCTAAATCCTTCCATGATGATMTCAAGTGAAATCGGAATAATCTGAACAATGTTTATTTGTCCAGCTTTTTAAAAGAGATTTCTTTTTTCTATTAATGGGAATGTACCAATTCACTTTTATCACTTTTTTTTCTCTAGGACGAGTCCATCTTTGGCTGGGTGTAGCAAGAAAATGAAGGAATATTCAGGCCCAAAGGAAATATAAAAGCAGTGAAAGCTTTCATTTTGATCTAGTTTTTCCTGGAGTCAGTGCAAGACTGCAAAGTGACTTCAGGGAAACACAGGTTCTCTGTTGTTTGTTTGGTGTTTGTGCTTCTGGTGTTTAAGAGGTTTGTTTTTACAGTGGCTTAAACAGCTCTGTTGCAAGATATTTATCTCAAGGCATTAAGTCTTGTGTTTCACTGAGCTATTAGTTTTAGAAAGCTTTTTAATGAGCATAATATTGTGACAGTTTGCTTGCAAAAGAAGAGATACACATTTAGTGTTGTCTCTGTATTTATATCTTTTATTTTTGTAGTTTGTCAGAATAATAAACACAAATTCAGTAAGGCAGAGCTCCATACAAGACATAAACCCCACTTTCCTTTCTTCCTGATTTGAATAAATTTGACTTTATGATATTAAAATATTACACAATAACCCTCTCTGTTCATTCATCCATTTATACATGAATCTCAGCAAGTATTTTGAATATGAAACCAGGTGAATGTTTTCTCTCTCCCTGCTCATCCTGAGGCACATAATGGTACCATCACAATCAGGAGGTGTTGTTTATCCACCTCACTTCAATAACACAATATAATTTTCTTCTGTTCTGCAGCTTAATACTCGAACTCTTGATTGACTGTTAAAGCCTTTTAAGCCAGCAAATTGTGTAAATGGGACATGAAAATGGCATAAAAATAGTTATGTATATGGAGTTCATCTTGAGAGTAAAACATTCACCTGTCACAATGAGACGTCCTTGCTTTCAATAAAAGGATTGTTTTCTCCTGGCATAATTTCTTGGTGTTTGCAGATATAATGACTGCAGTGTCAGAGTGTTGAGCTTTAATAACATGCTGGTGATTGTGTCATTAAGCAGCAAAGCATTTGGAAAKGTTTCATCCCTGTTTTCTTCATAGTAAAACTGCAAATGTGGAACTGGAATATGCCTTTGTGGGGACAGCTGTGGCGTCAAGGTTCTCTTCTGATCTGTGCTTGGGTAATATTCGGATTTGACTTAAAATAGTTGACATTTCAGCTTGGAAAAGGAAATGAGAAGGCAAAGTATTCAATCAAGACGTGATCATTTTTCTGGCAGAGYAAAAATGTCATAGTTCTTTGGTATTTTCAAAACACATGTTTAGAGTCACACTTGGGATTTTGGAGATTTTTTTGACTGCATGAAATGATCTCCCTCTMCCCACAGTTCTATCAATGACATGTTTGCATGGGGAGTATTTAGTTTATAATCCAGGTTTGTAAATTGTAGAGTTGTTGTTGTAACGTTTCTTTTCTGCAGCTGCAGTTGGTACTTTACTGGCACAGACTTCAGGGGCCCTGGAAACACTTTTCTTCCAGATGCRTAATTGCTGCTTTAACAGGATAGATGAGGTGCATTAACCTAAATCTCTGAACGAAGTTTAGCCAACACATTAARATTCCTTGGATGAATACAGACGTCTGTCTGTGGGACTATTTTAAAAGGAATTATGAAAGATAAGTATGGCCCTAAATCATCCCTATACACCTCCTTCAGTCTTAAGGGTCTGTATGGTGATGATGAGATAATTGGTTGGGACCTACTAATCAAGAACTTTCATTTGGCAGTACTTTGAAAGGCTCTTATATTTTTTTAATCACTTTGGACCAGAGCAGCTGTTTCAGTGGGGAAAAATGCTGATTCAGGTTCACTTTTTGGGTGATAAAGTTCAGCTTGCTGCTGCAGTGACCAGATTTCAAAGGTACAGTTGGAAGCAAGGGTACTCAGAGCAGTTAAAGTGCTGAAAAAAGGGCCTGGAGAAGAACCCAGCCCAAGCTCTACAAACCAGACCACCATTCCCATCCACCCAGACCTGTGTGCACTCTTTATTTTTTAATTCATGTGATTGTTTAAGTGTCAACAGCAATAGAAAAGTAATTGTAGCGTTGCATTAACATATCTTGCATGTTCGGGTAACGTGCTCCACAAGGAGAAAAAGGATTGGATAAACACAAAAAACTTTATTGAAACCCTCTTTGTTAAAAGGAGTCAGAAGTAAATAAGGTAACCTCAGGGCACTGGATCACAGAGCAGAGAYTCAGAAAAGAACAGATTCTCCTCTGAAGTCCTTAATCATCACTGCAGAAACACGAGCAAGTGTCACACTGTCCTGCTGTGGCTCCTGGGCAGCACTGCTGTTCCTTCACATTCTTCAACATTCAGATCAGTTACCTGAAGTTTTTAATAACAAATCTCCCTTGGAGTGTGAACTGAAGCAGATGTGCAAATACAGAGGTCAGGCTTTGTCTTTGCTTTGCCTTGCTCTCAGTGCATAATTTGCCTTTCTGTACAGAACACCAACTCCAGATTATTCTGGAAGTTTGACATTGCTTCATCTCAGCTCTGTGAACAGTTGCCAAGAGATCTGAGGAGGCTCCTTGCAGTACAGAGGTGGGAGGGAGCAKCCAGGGCACACAGAATAGCTGAAGGCATTGCTGCTGAATTCTCATTATCTGTAAATAATGGTGGCAGCCACTTGTCTCATGATCCAAAAGCTGCTCTGGACAAGCTCTTTTCCCTATGTTCCATAAATACAAATGACTTAGGATGAAGGTAGGCAGTGGTGAGTAAAGCCTTTGGGGTTTGTATCACTGTTCTGTGCTTGCTGGAGATTTGTTGGTCAAAGTTTAGCTGGAAACAGCACATCCTGACATGTTTGGGTTGAAGTTATCCCAGTTCTTGCCAAACTGAGCTCCCCTGGTTCCTGGGGCAGCTCAGCCAGACAATTCTGCATTGGAGTTCTCTGTCCAGTGGCACCAAGGGCTGTCCAGGGCTTGGGGGCTCAAAACCAGCTCCAAAGGCTGTAAAGCTGAAAGCAGGGAAGTCCTGAAAGCCTGGACTCCATGGTGATTTCCATGCCTGGCAGCACTGAGAGGCTCAGCTAAGGCCATGCTGCCRGAGCTCCTGCACTCCCTGCCGGGGAGCTGGGACTCTGGGCAGCCTTCCCAGGGTGTCCTCAGCATCCAGGCTGCAGGGGAGCCAGGGAGCCCCAGGAGCTACCACAGCTACTGTGTGGGGCTGGGGMGTGCAGATGCTGCTGCTGCTGCTGCCAGAGAGGATATCACTGATCAACCGCAGCCTCGGGAACTTGGGAATTGTGTTTTGGAAGTGCTTAGAKGTTTCTGAAGTGACATTTCTGGGAATTTCCAGTTGGTGGGTGTTGTGGTAGGCACACGTTAGGTGGACATTTTCAGAAGGGTTTGTTTCCTGCTTGATTTGGCCCAAAGCCACCAATTCAGATAAAACCTCATTTCCTGCAGGCTGGAGGCTTGGCCTGCCCGGCAGCTCTTCTGTTCGAGCCCCATCTGTTCTGGAGCTGAGATGAATCAGGTTCCTGGGTTCCCTCAGCTGAGGCTTTGCAGCCCCATGGCCTCTCAAGTTATCATGACTTGGCCACTACAACATAACCAATCATCAAGGTTAATAATATTTCACTGCTGATTGTTTCCATAAAAAGATTTCAGCTCTGAAGCAAAACTCGAGAGCAGGATGTGGAGTTTCCACCATGGTTTGATTTGGGAAAAGTAGAAGGTGACCTTTGTCTTCACTGAACATTTACATGCAGTAAATGTCTTTGTCTTTAGGGCCCTCCCTGGTAGTCAATGTTCATGTTTTAACTTCAAAGCTTCTAATACAATTTTGCATGGACTCTGACTAAGGAATAGCCTTCAGCAGGCTGTTGAATTGGAGTTTTCTTTGGGAGGGGGAAGTGACTGAAAGCAAATTTTGGGCATATATGACATTTTGTCTGTGCAATAAGTCCCTAAATATGAAGCAAAACAGGATGCAACTTTGATTTTTAGTTCTGGCAAATAATTCTCAGTGACATGGGCAGGTTTGTGCATTATGTTTCTTTTCATTGCATAAGCACTTACATAACTCTGATGGCTGGAATTTGCATAAAAACCAAAGCATCCATACTTGGATTGTTTTAACATGGGCTTTCCAACAAAATGAAGTAGCAGAAGAACCTATTGCTTAAGTGGAATTTTATTTTAGGAGGAAAAGATATATATATATAAAATATATACAAGTACTTATTTATTATGAGTATATTATAGCCACAGTGTATTTTTAATAAAGATTCACACAAAGTTTCTCATTTATTAGTGACAGCACCAGGGCCGTCTGATCTGAGGCAGAAAAATTCATGTTTGAAAGTTTCTGTGTGGGAAAATCACTGTGTGTAGCTGCAGTTTCATTTTGTTGGGAGAAAAGTTATGGAGGGCTCAAAGGAAAAAGGAATATTCCTTGATCCAGGAAGGGTGATCTCCTGCTGGAAGATGCTGAGTGCTTTGGCCTCCCACTGTCTGTGGCACCTCTTAGGCTGGGTTTTACTGTGTCTCTTGAATTGATTAGTGGAGCAGATTAAGGAGAGGATCTCTTCTTCTTTCTCTAAATTTGGACCCCTTGTTTTTGTCTCACCCAAGGGGCTCAGCTGAGCTGTAGATGTTGCTGGGCTGGGCTGGGAACAAATCTGATTTGTGTCATGTCCCAGAGGTCATGACAAGATCCCTTAACAGTGGGAACGTGTGAGATTTATTGCGCTCTTGTTTGAGGAGGAACAGAGGCAGATTGAAAAAGCTGTGCAGAAAGGCTCAGGGTGGCACTGACAAATGTTCCCTCTCTTCCACAATCTTTGTAATCTCCTGGATTTTGAAATGAACAATAAACTAACATGGCTTTTATTTTTTGCCCTGTTCTGCTACATGATTGTTTTCTTGTTCCTAATRTGTGTGAACAGTCAGTGGTGCTGATGGAATTCCATGGAATGGATGAGCTCCTCACAGCAATGACTAAAAGAAGTTAGCTCCAGCTTAAAATGGATCTCTTTACATCCCCTGGTATTTTAAATTCCTTCAGCTACAGAAAGGGTACAAATTTTTCAGCATGGTGCTAAGTTATCTGTGATCTCCCAAGGACAATAACACTGTGCTGGTTTTCACTGCTGTATTGGACTAATTTTGAAATTAACTCAGGTTAATGTTTGAGAAACAAACATGATTTTTTGGTAGAACTGCATTCTACCAAATTTTGAGAATTTTTRGTAGAGTCTGAGGTGGATGATGTTACTCCAAGGATTGCTCTATCATGACTATGGTGACTTCCTGAAATTGTCCTCACTCAGTGCCTTTAAGTTTTGTAGTTTCTCTTCTTAGTAATCACTTATTTTCCAATGCTTCCATTGTAAGCCTGGTCCCACATTTTCAAGATACGAAAACAGATTAAAATATTGCTGCTTATATTAATGAGCAGGAACTTTACAGGGAAAATGCTTGGTGTGCAGGAAATGTATTTTATGAAGTGAGACAGTGTTTCATAGATCAAGGAGCAAGTGAGTAGAATAATATTAACATTGAAGAGAAGTTGATTTATGTGTTCAAGATTGAAGTGGGGAGAGGCTGAACTCTGCTGTTATTGATGTTTTGTGTACAAGGTGCAGAATTTGCAGTGAAATGTTTGTACCTAAGCCCTGTTACCCTCCCTTCTTCACTTRGGCCTCACCTCGGGCTTCGGGGTGCTCCCAGCTCCAGCATCTCCTTCCCCTCCTTCTCCCCCATCCTGGTTATCTGCAGAGCTGTTCCTYTCACATTCTCCCTCCTCTCTCCTGGCTGCAGCTGTGCCCTTTCCCCCCCCCATTCTTCACTCTTTTTTCCAGAGGGGTTACCCCCTTGGGGCCACTGTGTGGGACAKGGAGGAAGCTTCCAGCAGCTTCTCACAGAAGCCACCCSTGCAGCCCCCCYGCCACACAAAYCCAGTGCATTAATATATTGTGGGAGACTTATGAAAGGAATAAAGAGAGGCATATATTTTTGTTGACAGAAGAAATATATTGTTTATTCCTCTGGAGTCTCACGTTGCTCATATTGCTGCTGTGCCTTATTGCCTGTCACTGAGCTGTGCTGTGTGGGCGGAAATGTCAGACTCTGTATTGGCTCTGCAAGGAAATCTGTGTGTTACTCTGATTTCTCATATTCACTTGGGCTTGCTTTAATGTTGTCCCTACAGAATGTTCACTTTTGGGATCTTGTTGGCAACTCCAGGCATCTCTATTTGCCATGAAGCATCCTGCTGTGTGAATTCACTCCTGGTTGTTTGTTTGTGAGAGAGAGATTTTGCAAAGAGGCATTTTCAAACTAAAATGGGCCACATTGACCCTGAGTATGGGGCTGGTTCAGTCTCGTGGAGGAAATGGAAGTTTCTGGRTGTAGTTCCAAGGGAGGCYTTGGATATCTCTCTGYACATCTYCCTCCACCACACTGCCAAAAWTCTCAGATGGCACCACTGAAAAACRTTGCTTAAAATGTGCTTCTACCCTGAAAAGCCAAAAGGTAAAAGCAGCATCTGCTCATTTTTCGCAGGTTCTTGCTGCTGGCACTCAGAATGAGAAGGCTTCTGGTGGAAAAGTGGCTCCAAGTGCCAGTGCTTGAGTGCTGGCCATGGTGAGCTGCATTCTCTGGGTCACATGGAATATCTCCAGCAGAGTTTAGCTCTATTTAGTTATCAGCAGATTTGCAGCTACAGGAAAGGTGTTTTACAGTGCAAAATGCTGAACAAGGAAGGGATTCCCTCTCATTGCTCCTTACCTTTGTGACTGTGAAGAATATTCGAGTATAACCAACAAAATAATGGATTGAGTTCAACTGAGTAGAGGTGTGGAATAAGCAGGTAACCTTATTTGCAACCTTATTTTTTCATGATGCAACCCCAGTTTCCATGGGTTTGCACAGGTAACTCTGGAGATTTCACACTTCTGTGTTTGGGGAGTGTTGCTTAAGACCTCTCCTAAGTCAGAGTATCTGCTTAGGTGTCATTAATGCAATATTTTGGCTAAGCAGGTTGTTCATTACCACCAGTGACATGGAAGAAAATTATTTTAGATCACAGGATACTTTTGCAAGGTATGAAAGACATCACTTTGCTTTTCAACAGACACCTCAAGTTGGTAATTACCAGATAAAGGTGGGAAACCACGGTGGCATTTTTATGGAGTTGCAATGCAGTATTTCCTTTGCATAATTTAATAATATTTCCTGATCCCTCATTTGAAAATAGCCCTTTTGCTGACAGAGAAGCTAGAGTACTTCAAATCTACATTCAGTGGAAGGTAACTACGGATCTCTTTGGATGGTCAAATCACTTCAGTTGATATAATGTAATATATTGAAATTTGGGGTAAGAATTGCTGTGACTGCAGTGTCTTGTTTGGAGCCCCTCTGGGAGAGGCTGATGCAGTTGGGATTKTTCAGATTTACCCAGAGACAGAAAAAGGGACAAAGGCCCCAAACTGAAACACAGGAAATTTCATTTCAACAAGAGAAAAATGATTTTCCTATGAGGGTGACTAAACACTGCAAAACCCYCTTGGGTGAAATTTACTGTGGAAGTTTGGCCTTATCCAGGAATGTRATAGAGAAAATTCCAACCCAAGCATGACAAAATGGTAGAATTGTTGGAAACAGGATCTTTAATGGGCCATGTAAGGTGATGTCAGTAGCAGGCAGTTTTAGCTGCCCTTCTCTACCCTTTCCCTCTCAGCTCTTCCCTCTGTGCTGTGATCAAGCTCTACCACTGCAGTCAGCACTTCCCCTTGCTCTGCCAAAATACAGCTTTAAATGAGTTTTCACAAGTCAATTCTAAAAGGCTTTATTATGGAAACAGTTCACGCCTTCAAGGAGTATATTTAGGCCTCATGAAAAATGCCAAGTTGCAAGCTCTGGAGGCAAATTCTAAATTTATAAACAAATCAGGSTGAAGTCATCCCAAAGTATCCTGTGTCTCCAGGAGAAGCGCTCAGCCTGCTGCTGCAGGGGATGGTGGTGGTGGGGGTGGGACAGTGTGTGGTGCTGGTGTGACACCAGTCTGGCTGCTGGGAACAGGAGCAGAGCCCTGTCCTGCCATCCCAGCATTTGAGAATCACAGGATTGTGAAGGCTGGAAAAGCCCTCCAGGATCATGGAGTCCAACCATTAACTCAGCACTGCCAGGGTTGTTGTTAAACTGTAAATGTCATATCTGCATGGTTTTCCAGGGATGGTGATTCCACCGCTGCCCTGAGCAGCTTCTCCCTGACCACCTTTTCAGTGAGGAAATTCTTCCTAAAATCCAACCGAACCCTGTCTTGGTGCAACTTGAGGCCATTTCCCTCTTGTCCTGTTCTTGTCAGCTGGGAGAAGCGAGCAACCCCCAGCTGGCTCCAGGTATTTGAGCAGGCACCAGGGAAGGTGAACTGGGAGCCACAAATTGATAGCAGGATTGGGGAACCTTCCCTGTGGGGACAGAATGAGAAAATCAAGGATGTTCAGCCTGGTGAAGGCTGTGTGGAGACCTCACAGTGCTTTCCAGTGTCTGAAGGGACTGCAGGGAAGCAGGAGAGGGACAATTCATCAGGAACTGGCAGGAAAAGGGGGGAATGGCTTCACACTGAAAGAGGGGAAATTTGGGTTGGGATATTGGGAAGGGATTGTTCTCTGTGAGGGCCTGGCACAGGTTTCCCAGAGAAGCTGGGGCTGCTCCATCCCKGGAAGTGTCCAAGGCCAGGTTGGATGGGGACAGTGGAAGTTCCATGGCAAGRGCTGGAACTGGATGATCTTTAAGGTCCCTTCCAACCCAAACCATTCTGGGATTCTCTGCTCCAGTGTTTTATGGGTTCCTTTCAGCCCACACAGCCCAGCAATCAAAGTCCCAAATACTCACAGAGTAAAGAGAGGCTCAGTGGATTGGAACTGGATGAGGTTTAAGGCCCGCCATTCTCGGCCATTGTGACACCGCTGTGAGCAACGCAGCGATCGATGCCACCGGGGGCCGTGTCCCCGTGCAGCGCCATGGTCACCTACCTTCTCCCGGTGCTCTGTGCCACGGGGGTGTCACAGGGGTGTCACAGGGGTGCCTCGGCGGTGTCTCGGCGGTGTCTCGGGGGTGTCGCGGTGGTGTCACAGGGGTGTCGCGGTGGTGTCGCGGCGGTGTCGCGGCGGTGTCGCGGGGCTGTCTCGTGTCGCGGGGGTGTCTCGGGGGTGTCACAGGGGTGTCACAGGGGTGTCTCGGCGGTGTCTCGGGGGTGTCTCGGCGGTGTCTCGGGGGTGTCTCGGGGGTGTCTCGGGGGTGTCGCGGAGATGTCACGGAGGTGTCACAGGGGTGTCGCGGTGGTGTCACAGGGGTGTCGCGGTGGTGTCTCGGCGGTGTCTCGGGGGTGTCGCGGCGGTGTCTCGGGGGTGTCGCGGCGGTGTCACGGGGGTGTCGCGGAGGTGTGGCGGCGGTGTCTCGGGGGTGTCGCGGGGGTGTCACAGGGGTGTCACGGGGGTGTCTCGGGGTTGTCTCGGCGGTGTCTCGGCGGTGTCTCGGGGTGTCTCGGCGGTGTCTCGGCGGTGTCTCGGGGGTGTCGCGGGGTTATCACAGGGGTGTCGCGGTGGTGTCACAGGGGTGTCTCGGTGGTGTCGCGGCGGTGTCGCGGGGCTGTCTCGTGTCGCTGTCCCCCGGCCGTGAGGGCGCGGCCTGCAGGAGGCGCTGTGCGCTGTTCCCGCGGGCCGCCAGGGGGCGCGCGGTGCTCGCGGCGCTGAGGGCGGGCGGCTGTGAGGGCGGTGTGGGGGGAAGGAGCCGCCGCCCCGCCCGCCTCAGTCACCGGCGGAGCCGCAGCGAGCGCAGCGCTGTCCCTTCAGCACCGCTCCCCCCGCGGACACCGCGGGCTCCGCGCACCCACACCGGCCCCGCCGCCGCCTCTCGCCGCCTGCTTTGCGGTAAGTAACGGAGCTGTGCCCGCCGAACGCCCGCCCCGAGCTCCTTCGCCGCCGCTCCCGGGGAGATGGGATGGGAAGGGAACACGCGAGTGCTCCGGGATGTGCAGGGGAGGGGATCGGAACCCTTACGAGGGCTGCAAAAATGATAGAGTGGTATAAAAAACCCCCTTGGGGTCAGTGGGAATCGCACCGTGTCCCGGTGTCTGTGTCCCCGTGTCCCAATGCGTGTCCGCGGTGGTGGCGGTGCTGGTGGCGCTCCCGGTGRTGCTGGTGACATTCCCGGTGGTATTGGTGACATTCCCAGCGCTGCTGGTGGCATTGCCCGCCGTGTTGGTGGCACTCCCGGCAGTGCTGGGTGCTGGTGGCATTCCCAGCCGTGTTAGTGGCGTTCGCAGCAGCGCTGGTGGCTCTCCCGGCGCTTTGGGATCCGCCGTGTTTGGGCTGACAGCGAGGGGTTTCAAGGGTGTTTGCGGTGTTTAAAGGCTGTTCGTAGGGTTTGTGGCGTGTCTGCATAAGGCAAATGGTTTGGTGAAGTGAAATCACATTCCCTAAAACCCAGAGACCGACACCTGAACCCAAACCGAGCAGGGCAAGTCCCCTTCCCACTGCCCCCGTGACACTGCTCATCTCCCCCCGRTTTTAGGTGTGGAAAGCCAGGTGCAAGGATGGTGAAGCTGGGGAGTAATTTGAACGACAAGAACAACAAACCACCATCCAACGAAGATGGTTTTCAGACAGTTCCTTTGATCACGCCTTTGGAAGTAAATCACCTGCAGTTCCCGGCTCCGGAAAAGGTAMAAACAGAATGAGAATGTGCTCCTGCATGGTTGCGCACACGTACGTGCTCCTGGGTTGTCACAGGGCTCTGGTGATGGGAATTRTGGATATTTATTCAATAAATAAAAAGGGCTTATCTTTCATAGTGTGTTTATCTGTTTTAACATGGCAAATAACCATACAGTTGTCCCCCAGTGCCTTCCCTCCTCAAAAAAAGAACCCCAAATAATCATAAATGCAAATGGAAAAAAGCTCGTTGCGCTTCTCTTGCAAGCGCTGGAGAGGAGCAGTGTGGAATGTGTTATTATCAGAAAGATTAATGGCCTGCTTTGAGAGGAGGTAATGTGATAACTGCCGAAATAAGCAGCTGTTTTAATTATCTCAGCTAAGCTCYGCTTTCTTCTCAGTGGCTTTGCAAAGCTGATTTGGGCACTGAGGATGCTGATTTCCCTGGGGAGAGTGGCTGAGTTCCTGGGGGACAGCACAGGGACTCGTTTGGCCCCGGGCAGGGGACACTGTTCTCCCCTGCCCCCTGAACCCTCTCACACCTGAATGCAGCACTGAAATGCCCAGGAATGTTGACTGGCTGCGGGTTGTATTGGGATTTTTTTGTTTGCAGTGTGAAGCAGGAAATCTTTTGTCTCCATCCCTGTGGGGATGATGCATATCAGYATAACCTGGTGAGGACATGATGAGACTGTAAAAATCCTATTCCCCAACAGCCCTCACCAAAACAAAGCCAGTCTGCAATGTAGTTCCCTGATACCACAGAGGTGGAGCCAGCCCTCCCCAAAGTACAGACGGAATGATTAGATCTCTCAGGATAATGGAATAACAGCAAAATTAACACTGATGATTATTGAACATATATCCTGCTTTTACCGTGGTACAAAATGAATTTTCCCTAAATAYATTAAGAGAACATGGTGATGGATGTGATAAACCTGTCTATGTAGACAAACTATATTTATTTTAGGATACAGCTGAGTCAACTGCTTTGACATCCTGGGAACCAGAGCTGTGCCAGACAAAGGAGCTGGTTCTCTTCTCCATGTGGCTTGTGGCAATCAGGAGCAACTTTGCTGCATTCAGGAGAGTTAGACTTTTGTGAATTGTTGTGAAGGAGAGGCTAAGCCAGCCCTTGTCTGTGACTCTGATAAAACAAGATTAAGCAAAATAATTCAGGCAAAGCAGTATGATTTGCCATTAATGTCTGAGAACCTCAGAGGAAACCRAAGGTGTGTAAAAGTCGCTCCTTCGATGCCAGTACAAAAGGCTCGTTGAGATCACCCAGTGTCACATGACAATGTGGAATTTAAATGACTTGTGCATCAGGTGAGACATGGATTACCTCAACAAAGAGCTTTTCAAGCTAATCAAGTGGTAATGAGTGTTCTCAGGACCACCACAGTTCCAATTGCSTGTTGGTGAACAAACACTGGCACCTATCGGTGTGGTGTGATTTCTTGCTGATTTTTCTGTTTAAATATGCCCACATCAATAATTCACATGTTGTTAGGTTACATTACTTTCATTAGCATATATTACTGCCAATGCAKCTACTGACATCCATATTTTTCCTCACTGGAAGTGTGGGATGTATCTCCGGGCGTGCTGAGCGTGATTCAGAACTCATTAGAGTCAGAGCTATTGATTTCTGCAGGCTGTGGTTCATCTCCTCCGTGCAGCAGACCCRGAGTTAACGGGCTGGAAATCCCTTCACCGAGAGGAGAGGTTATTTATGATAAAAGCGAAATAATTCACGACCTGTTTCCTTTGTAGAACGGGTTCTGGTGGGGTGAGCTCACCCCGGGGCAAAGGGGCTGTTTAAAGACCTGCTAATAAGGAGCTGAGCCTCGGGTGAAAAGCTTGGGCAAAGGTTAAGTGAGACGGGGAAACTGCAGCCTTGTATTTCAGAAAGCAAAGCTGCTGCTGCTGAATTCAGGCAGGCTGTGCTCCTGACGAGGAATGGACATGGATTTCAAGYCTTTCAGGGTGTATTGTTGTTTGGGCTTGCCTTGCTGTCAGGAAGCAGGGTTCAAAAAACACCTAAAATTGGCCTTTTTCCCCCCCCGTGTCTATTCCTAAAACCTGCGAGCAGTTGATTTTTAGCCTGGGAGAATGAGAGCATAAGGCAAGGTGCTACCTGTGCACGGGAAGCTGCAGGAGTGAGCAGATCCAAGCGAGCCGTGGTGTCGGGTCTGAGGRACAGCTCCGCTGGGCTTTCCAGCCTCGGGGGTTTTCTGCACTGCTCCCCGATCGTGCTGCCAGCAGCCACAGGGAGGCAATGCTGCCGGACAGCTCCTCCGCTGCATCTTCGGTGCATGGTCCTGGCATCCTTCTGTAAGTGAAACCTAAAAAAAAAAACCCCGACCCTGTTAAGTATTCCCCTTTCTGGGCTTCTCTTCGCTGCTAGAAGGGATCTTTGTTTATGAAACTCAGAGCTTTTGACCTGGCTCTAACCTTGGGGTCAGGGCAATCCGGAGAGCATCCAGGGCAAGGAGGTTTGGGTGCAGCTCAGGGCTCTGTTCTTGCTCTGTCTGGTAAAGGAGTAGTGACAGCTTTGGATAGTGATCCAGGAGTGTGATAGGCAACCCTCTTGCTCTCACTACAACAATGCCTTCACCTGGACTGTATTTGTAAGCTTTCTTCATTTATAGGCTTTATTTCCAGTTGAGTCTTAGATACCTGCATGCAAGTTGAAGAAAATCAAACCTGTTGTTTGTTGGGTCCTTAAAAGTACCCCACAAAGCCTGTGGAATCTACACACTGAAAATTGTGGTTTAAGGACCTTAAATATCTGATTTTTTTCTTCATTTTGGGGATGTTTTTGTAGCTGAATCACTTGAGAGTCGTTGAAAGTGACTTTCAGCATTAACCTGTGTAGGTAGCTSATCAGAGCTTCCATCATCTCTTCCTAAGTGTCTTCTGTGTCTGGCTCCTCTTTCAGAGAAAGGATAGAGATAGAATATAAAAATGAGGCCTTTGCTGATGTGATGTAATCCCTGAAGTCCAGTTCTTCTCAGATAATTCCTTGAAGAAATCATATGGGGGTGAGGAGTGAGAGAGGAAAACACTTTCTTAAAGGTGTGCTTAAATTTCCTGTCTGTCCTTTTGGGGGTGCTTTCTAACAGGCTTGTTTTTCAAAGCACTGAGAGCATAGCAGCTCCCTCTGACTCCCACCTTGCTGCTATTGGAAAAATGCAGGCATGACTTCAGGAAGCTTCAATTTGGCAAGCTGCTTTTTTAAAAATTTCAGGCCCCTGGAATGTCTCCTTTTCCCTCCAGAGGAGGATGTCCCCTYCTCATGCTGCTCCTCCTGCAGCATCAGCATTCTCATCCTTCTCTCAGCACTTGTGGGGCTTCAAGGGGACAAATGTACCCAGGAYAGGAATTTTCCCCCTAAGGTACTAAGCCTGCTGTACATTTATATTTAGTGACTCTCTTGAAGCATTTCCCTTGTCCCCTGTTCCGTTACTGGAGCAGAAGGCAGAGACAGGTGCTCTTAAATCATTTTTGCATGGCCTTTTTGGTGAAATCCATCCATGTAACAGCAATAATAGCCCCATCAACAATGACAAGCTCCTGACCTGGCTTTTTATGTCTCTGAATTTCATTTCTTCTGATACAAAAAGCAAAAAAACAGAAGTCTTTTTATCTTTTAGGACCAAAGGGGAAAAGAGGAGCTGTTGCCTTGTTTTCCAAGGCATAGACAAACAGCTTCAGCTCTGATTGTGTCTCTGCAATGATAATGCTGAAAGATGTGCAGCTTTTCAGGGACCATTCTGTTCAGTGAAATTTTAAATGAGACCTCCAACTGGGGACCCCTTGGTCTCTTGGCTCGCTTCAGTATAATCCAGCAGGAAATACCTCTGTTCTGGCAGTAAAATCCTAATTTTACATAACACAAAAGTGCATGAAAGCTCTTGTCAGGCTGAAAAAAACATCCAGCATCTCTTTTGTGGAGAAGGCTGCAGAAGGCTTATCATGTGGTCCATTGTTCTTTATTTTGAATGCATCAGGAGACTCGAGAATTAATTTCTCTAGTGGCAAATTCCTGCCACCAACCCAAGTAAGCAAAAAAATAGATGTAACAGCTCTATTCAAATGCTTTTCCCACCCTGTGCTCCTGCCCCAGGCCACATCCCTCTCTGAGTGGCTGAGGCCATGCATTTACACAGTTCCTGGAAATCAGGGGGTCCCTGGTGTTCACAGCCTGTCCCTGTTGGTTTAACAGAAAATAACGTTTGGTCSTGGCCAGCTGAGCAGGAATAATTAAGAGTAGCTGGATGAGTGCTCCTGTACCTCGGGGACTGCTTGGAGCTCTGTCCTGGCATACCAGTGTCAGGCTGCCCTCTGTGCAGCCTCRAGGCAGAGCTGTCAGGGCAGCATGGAGCTGCTTTTGGGGAGCTGCTGCACCTGCTGGGGCCGGAGGCAGCTCKGCATTCCCGGCCTGGGAAACTCCAGGAGCTCCAGATGAGCTGGGGACAGGCAGCTCCTGCTCATCTGCTGGTGAGGATGGTGGGATGGAGCAAAGGGCAGAAGGAGGGATGGGGCAGGGATAGCCATGAACCAGGGGGAGGAAAGAAGAGGAAAAGGGAGGAGGAGGATGCAAAGGGAATGAAAAAAAGGATAAAATAAAGGAAGGGAATAACAAATATAAAGGAACAGGCTGTCTTGCCTTTCCCTGTCCTTTCCTTTCTCATGTGGGATACTCTGCCCCATCTCCACAAATATCAAAGTCTGAGCCACCTTCTCCTGTGACATTGTCCCTGTCTCACGCTGTGCAAATCCCTTTGTCCTCTGGATGTATATCAGAACGTAAGCACCACCTCTGCTCATTAAGCTGTGATAAATCCATGCAGCATTCAGGCAGAGCAGTGTTTGGGGGAGCCTCCTTGATGTTGTTTGCATGTTTTGGACAGCCCTGCTTGTGATTCTTGGCAGCTCCTGCTCCTGTTTGGATGTCACTCTGTGCTGGCCTTCCCTTCACACACCAACCCCTCCACTCACAGGT